GGCGGGCGGCGGGCGGCGGGCGGCGGGCGGCGGGCGGCGGGCGGCGGTTGCTTTTGTAGGTCCAATGACAAATGTGCAGTTGTGACATAAATGTCTGTCGGTGTCAGCAAATTGACCATACACAGGAATCATCAATCAGATATGTCGTTATAATTATAATATTCTAATCCCGACCGAAGATAGAAGAAATGGAGCGCGACTACGACAGAGGGGCGCGGGGAAGGTTGCGAAGCCTAGGTGGGGGGAGGGGTCTGTCAAATTGAGACGGGGAGATCAAAGCGACGGCATTCCGTTATTAATTCCTCACCCAATTCCTCTGACTGTATTCGCGACGAAGAAATTTGTGGGACCTCGTATTTTTGATGTGTCTATATTTCAGTTTTTAATATCACTCAATATTATGTATTTTCACATTTGGGAATAGTGAAGTTTGTTGCGCCCGATTAGATAAGACGATACATGTTTCCAGCAGTATTTATGTACATATGTATGTATGTATACATAACATATACATGGCTACAGCGCTGTGCTCGCACACGCACTTTTGCATTTACAACATTAGTAACATCATAAGTCAGATAGCAGGATAGTAAGAAGTGTCTCCTTTTACTTTTAAACATCGAATAGATATCGATCCTTTGGTTAGTTACGCTCTTGTTAACCGTGACGCGTTCAACGTGAGTGATCTTACTAATATTGTAAATGTAAAAGGTTATATGGACGGATGGATGGATCTTTCTTAGAAGATATCTCTAGAACGACTGCATGGATCTTTGAATTTGGTATAGATGCAGAACATATTATGGAAGACCACATAGGCAACTTATAAAGTGTTTTATTCTTCAGTTCCTCGGTCACTTCAGAACGGTCACGGACAATAGGGAGTTATTCTTATTATATAAAAATACTTAATTAAATAAAAAAAAGAAAAATGTAATAAAGTTGCTAATAGAGCGCATACTTGTATGTGTTCAGATGTAGGTAAGCAGGCTCATGTTCGTGTATAGCGATACGATGACAATAAACATGGCTTGTTTGTCAACGTCAGGCGGCGGCGCGGCACGGCGCGGCGAGTGGCACGCGCGGCATGCCATTTGTAAGGCACGCGGCGCGGGGGGAGGGGTGATAGTTGTCGTCTGCTGATCCTGCCAATATGTGGCGAGGGAAGCAGATCGAGGCTGGCGCAGCTCCTACACACGACACGCAAAATCCTAATCAACCTCTTTATACAAATCACATTGTATTTACTTTTCTATACAAATCATTGAACATTTAATATTCCACGTGGACGGAGTCGCGGGTCAAATGCTTAATCGGTTATGACTTAATCAGGGTTTTGACTTAATCACGATTGTAGCTTGACACTGTAATTGCCAAGAGGATGTCATTACGTGTTAGTTGACGTTTAATTAACAATTACCCTATCAGTATAACACGTATGTTCGGCCAGGCGGCGGCGTGATTGATCTGCCAGTAATTGCTGGACGGGGCGGGTTCGCGGGGCGCGGTGCGCGGGGCCCAATTGACGTTGATGGCGATATCTTCGTCACGTAAAAGAGTTTAATTCTTTATATTACTTGTTCAGAAGTTTTACAAGGTAACTTACAATCGGGCTTATATGAGAATGCTGGTATAACGCGTTTTCCTATTAGTATATATTTAATTGTTGCACAACAAAGCTTTGTCCCGGCAGCAGCAAGGCTTTGGGGCAGCGGGGCGGCGGGGCAAGTCGGGAGGGGGTGGGAAAGGGTGGCATTGGGCTAATGAAACAAAACCGACTGCCTCGTATGTGTATTGTAAAAGTCCAGCGTCACAAGAGCAATGCAAGGCAAGGCATTCTTGTGTCGGGGGCGCGCAGGCCGGCGCCCGCGCCACACAGTATTGTCATTAGTGGTGCCTTTATTTGTCTTCATTTATATTTATGTATTATAGCAAGATTAATTAAAGAACACTTTAAGACACTTAAAACTGTTTGTGTATTTGTAAGATTGAAAATCTTTGAAAGAACAATGTCTTCAAAATTATAATACGTTGTCGAGACGGAACGACGAATGGCTACATAAGAAGTTTGCCTCAAATTACGCCACTTTATTTCTGGTACAAGTATATTTTCTTTAATGTTGTATAATACAACTTGTTTGTGCGGTCATTTGTTCTATACCATGTCCAGACCGACATTTGTCAGTCTGCCGCAGTGACTATGTCGGCACAATAAAGTCAACAACTTAGATACAGATTAAGCTATTAGATTACTTAAATAAATAATTATAGCTGATCTCGGGTTAAAATAAATACATTCAAGGTTACAACTAAACCAAAAAGTACACAGTAACAGTCCATACTGAGAAATACAATAAAACTTAATTGAGATATCGTTTTAACGAGCTTTGAAGTCTTTCCGTCGTAAATCCACGGCTCCAGTCGCGGCGCGTCGTCTTTGTCGGCACTCGCTTCACCGTCTGTTTGTAAACTGTCCGCGGGACGCCTTTGATCTTCCACTCATCCTGCGAGCTGAACTATTCCTGTATGCACTTACAAACATTTCATTGCTCTTGTGATAACAACTTAACATATTCACGTTTGACTTTTACAAATTCTGTTTTGGCTGCGTCTTGTTAGTTGTTTTCGAAGCTTTTACCAATGATTTTAACAACACTATCGAGTGCAAGGCCCTGTGAGCTCGGGAGGGGGGATGGGGGATGGGGGAGGGACGCATTTGATGGGGGTGCCGGGGCGGCATTCCATCATCTACGAGTTGCCGAGACAACGCAGCTGAAGTCAGATGAAGTTTGAAACACAATTTTGTCAAGTTCGTCGATAATGTGGTAAATGTTCAGATGAAACCCAACACGAATAACATACATACATACATATGTACAAGGAAACTGTTACCTGTACAGATACTACAATATGTAGGGACACAAACATACATAAAGGCATCGAACATTAAGGAAACGTTACAAAGCAAAGAGCGTTAAACTTATAAAGGTACAGTAGAGAAAGACTAAAATTGTTATCCTGAAGTAGAGTAGATACGTACTTGTATGAAAATAGCTTCAGAAAATGTTATCATACTGAAAGTTTAGCAAACTTCATATACTCAAGATATAAAAGTTTATCCGGCGTGTTGCATCGCCGGCGGGCGGCAGTGGGGGGCGGCGGTCATGCTACTGCTGCTGCCGCTGCTGCTCTCGACTAAAGTATTAAGTTTTACGAGTATATGTACATTTGTTTTAAATTACTTAAGATAAAAATATTTTAATTTTTAGCCAACTTCAAAAAGAAGGAGGTTTTCAATTCGTCTGTATGTTTTTATATATATAAATTTCGATCATGGCTTGTTTTTGCCCGAGTTGATCCTATTGTGATAAAGTTTTGAGCAAGGTTACTTTGTGAATTCAAATTTTATTCTTCATTTTAGGGACCATTGCAAGTGTATTTATTAGGACGTAAGGTACGTGCATAGGATGTAAAGTGTCGTGCGAGCCACACGGTGATGTGCCTCATCGCACTGTCTCCACACTTACGAGTGTCTGTTTGACTCGAGTGGCGGACACCAGCTTGTAACAGCTAGTGTCTTTGTTCACTTTAAATCTTCAAACATAAAAAGGTAAAGGCGCGCAAAAAATACAAAAAGCCTTATCACAGTTCTAAGAACAATACGGTACAGTGCGGCGCGGCGCTGCTTTACTGGTAAAGTAAACTTTTCTGAAGAGACACTTAAGATATTCATAAGAAAAAACAAGGTCGTTACAAAGTTGGTCGCGTCACGTCCTAATGTCCCGGCCTCGGCCTCTCCGCTACCAAAATATACAACTTCAAGGTCGCCGGAGAGTGTAATGAAGATGGATGTGACTTGACACAAATTTTTGTCGATTTTTTACTTCTCAAAGTAGCAATGGGGCTTTATTCGTAGAGAACATGCGCCAAAGCAAAAGTAGATCGGCGACGACCTCCGGGAGTCAGTTGACGAACGAGCCTCTGTGTTTTGTCTTCGTTTTGAAATTTAATTTAAAACAGACTATAACTCAATAAATTGGCTCTACACTACTCATCTCTACAACATAAATAACATAAATATTTTCGAGCCTAGTAACTGCGGTGATATGTGACCTATAGAGTAGTGAAAAGTGATGTTTACGGATTTAGAATGGTAAGCAAACGATAAAAAAGTGGATGAGGCGGCAGTTGGAAGCCATACCAATGTTTGATACAGATAATTAGATAATCAGCAGCAGCAGCGGCAGGAGTTGCCTGAGGGGGTTGGGGGGGGGAAGCCCCGCGCCGCTGTTCGTCATTACATGTATAGCTTTTAGATTGTAATAGAGAAATATTTATGAAAATCTTGTCATATTACTTAATTTCAAATAGAACTTAGTACAGTTCATTCGTTTATCTTATACATTTTGCAATTAAAGTAATGCTATTAAGAAAATATAACAATGATTATGTTGTTGTTAGACGGACCTGTCGCCGCCACCCCGCCGCACCGCCGCACCGCCGCGCCGCCGCGCCGTCCGCTGAAGCGCCGCTATCACCTAGCCTCATAAATTAACGTCTAATCACTGCCATTAATAACGAGCACGTGACACATTGGTTCAAAACAAAACAACGCTTAGCAAATATTAGTATCACTAATGTTCGCATTTTAAAATTAATT